AGAGAGGAGGGAGAGTGGAGGGATAGAGATAAGGAAGGTGAGGTTAGAGATGAGGTTACTTAGAGATGGAGAAAGAGAACAGGGAGGAGAGAGATCTAGGGAGTTCCATGGGGGGGATTGTCAGAGAGAGATAGAAAGATAAAGCAGGAGAGTACGAAAGAGGGAGAAAAGAGAAAGAAGGAGTGAGAGGGAGGAAGAGGGATACAGAGGGAGGGAGGAGGAGAGAGATCCAAAGAGGGAGAGACACAGAAATAACTTAAAACAATCTTTCTCGGCCTTTTTAACAAGGAAGAACCCTTGATACAAATCTCAGGGATCCCCTGCTAATAATTAATATATCTACAGCTCACAGTACAACAGTAGGCGGAGATTCCATATGAGGACAAATAAAGGAATAAGGAATGTGATGCACTGAGCATTTTTTACAGCCAGGGCTGCTCAATACAACCAGATTATTTTCAGTTAGAATTAAATAAAAACAAATAATAATTCAGAAAAAAAATGAAATACAGACAGTGAAAACTGTAGTACCCCCTTACACTGGTAACCAGTGGGAAGAGTGTCCCTTACACTGGTAATCAGTGGGAAGAATGTTCCTTACAGTGGTAGTCAGTGGGAAGAATGTTCCTTACACTGGTAATCAGTGGGAAGAATGTCCCTTACACTGGTAGTCAGATGGAAGAAGGTCCTTTACACTGGTAGTCAGTGGGAAGAATATCCCTACACTGGTGGTCAATGGGAAGAATGTCCCTTACACTGGTGGTCAATGGGAAGAATGTCCTGTATACTGGTAGCCAGTGGGAAGAATGTCCCTTACACTGGTGGTCAATGGGAAGAATGTCCTGTATACTGGTAGCCAGTGGGAAGAATGTCCCTTACACTGGTGGTCAATGGGAAGAATGTCCTGTATACTGGTAGCCAGTGGGAAGAATGTCCCTTACACTGGTAGTCAGTGGGAAGAATGTTCCTTACACTGGTAGTCAGTGGGATGAATGCCCCATACACCGGTAGTCGCTGGGAAAAATATCCCTTATACTAATAGTCAATGGGAAGAATGTCCCTTGCTCTGGCAGCCAGTGGGATGAATTACACTGGTAGTCAGTGGGATGAATGTTCCGTACACTTGTAGTCAGTAGGAAGAATGTTCCTTACACTGTTAGTCAGTGGGAAGAATGTCCCTTACACTGGTAGTCAGTGGGAAGAATGTCCCTTATATTGGTAGTCAGTGGGAAAAACTCCTAAATACCTCTGGAGGAACCCTGTTCGAGAAAGACTGTTAAAGAGATATTCCCTTACTTCCTGTCCTGCTCCAGACAGGAAGTGAGGGGAACTCTGCAACAACAATACACAGAAATAAAAATGCTTTTCTTTAGTAGAGTAAGCGAAGGCTATACGGTCTGTCAGATTTATATTTCTGTCTGTGTGCCCTTTGCAAATCTACCCTCATTTCCTGTCTAGTAAAATGTTGTTAGCGGAACAGGAAATAAGGGTAAATCTCTATAACACCCCCAGATAGCAATACAAACCTGTCTCAACTCCACCCAGAATTTTAAAAAAATGGGTATGACATGCATTTACTTCCATCCATCCTCCCGACCCAACACTTAACCCCTAAAATACTAAACGCCTAAGCCTGGCACTAACCTAAACTGTAAACTAAACCCTAACATGGACTAACTCCAGTTCTGCTGTTCACTGTCACCATCCTGCCATTGAAGGGATTAAAAAAAAAAAACAATTCAGCTATTGTAGACATACAGGTCCTAGCCTCTCCTGTCAGGCAGGCTGGGACTTGTAGTTGGTATCTGCTGGGTAAGCTTGCTGTGCATCGTGGATGGCGGCTTGGGATGAATAGGAAGTTATACTGTGCGCTATAAATTGACAAAGCTTTATTTTATATGTCTCATTACAGGGCAAGTGTTCTGATCGGAGCTCCCAAAGCCAATACCAGCCAACCAGAGATTGTAGAAGGAGGTGCTGTCTATAACTGCCCATTCCCGAAGAAAGGGACGACCGAATGCAAGCGCATTCCATTTGATCTTACTAGTAAGTATTATAAATATATACAGTATGTACTCTTGACTCACTGTGGGAAAAGCAACACGACTTCCTTTGTCTTGACCACTCTAAAGTGATGAAATCTGGAATCTGACTCGTTGCTGGGGGTTAGGCCACTTGGCTTATTGTTTTTTTTTTAAATTTCTTTATTGATAAACAGCTCAGAATGTACACACATAAAGGGGGAGCGGCGTACCGCTCAAAACGTAATAGAGAGGTTTATCTTAAAGTCCGAGAGGTACCCGTAAAGTTCAAATGTCCGGAGCAGATGGGGGAGTGACTGTAAGGGGTCGGGCAGAAAGAATAGTAGATCATCTGCAAAAGCAGCTATCTTGTGTTCACCTGAACGTTTGGAGAAGCCCAAGATGTCCCGGTTAGAGCGCACAGTGCATAAGAGTGGTTCCAGGGTGAGGACAACAATGATGGGGGATAGAGGGCATCCCGGTCTGGTCCCGTTACTGAGTGAGAAGTATTCCGACCGGGTTTCGTTAACATTTACCGCAGCCGTAGGACATGAGTAAAGCGCAGTTATCCACTTATGCATATTGGGGCCTAACCCTATGTGATCAAGGACGGCATGCATGAAGGACCATCGAACCCGGTCGAAGGCCTTCTCTGCATCCGTGGACAGGAGCATCAAAGGGGTCCCTCGTAGGCGCGTGTTATGTACTATATTCAAAGCCCTGATAGTGCTGTCTCTAGCTTCTCTCACAGGGATAAAGCCATCCTGGTCATAATGGACAAGTTGCGGCAGGGCCGGTAGCAGGCGGTTGGCCAGTATCTTGGAGAACAGCTTAAGGTCTACATTGAGCAGGGCAATTGGGCGATAACTGCCGCACTGGGAGGGGTCTTTGTCTGGTTTCGGGATGAGGGTAATGTGGGAGCGGAGAAGGTCGTCAGGAACAGCTGCGCCCGATAGTATAGTATTGAAGGCCGTTACAAAGTGCGAGTTAAGGGTCTCAGAATAGGTTTTATAATAGGTCAGGGTATAACCGTCCGGACCGGGGGCCTTCCCTGTCTGTGCCTGTTCACTTGGCTCATTGTTAATGCCCTGTGCACAGTGCTTTGCAGCATTAGCCCCTACACCAGGGGTAGGCAACCACGGCCATCCAGTTCTTGGAAAACTACTAAAAAGTTCCATAACGTATTGCATTGCAGCCTGAAGGTGGCAGTATTCATTGTCAGGCTGGAGGCCTGTCATTGATTTTAAAGGAAATCTATCCTGAGCAAAAACATGGAGGCTGCTGTTGCTCACCTTTCCCTCACAAAATGCTAGCTGCCTGCCTGCTATGTTAATGGCCCTCTACAAGGTTTCAATCAGATGCAGTAGCTCCTACTGTGCTCTGCCTTTAGAAAACCCTCTGTTCTCTGGGAATCCTTTGTCACAGATGTCCCCTGTATTTATTCTTTATTTGTAAAACAAAATTATATATCTTATATAAAAGGGGGTGCTTAAGGGGATGTCATCGGTCTCCCTTAGGAAGTTCCCCATGTGGTTTGCTCTCTGTAGAATTGGTGGATTTTCATGATATAGAGCACATCAGCATAGGTGGCATGTGTCATATAGCCATTGGAGATCTGGAGGTTTTGAGGTGGTGTCCTTGGTCTCTTTGGAATATTTGGTGGATGAAGAGTCACCATATTATCAAGGTTCCCCTAACTTGAGGCTCCCCTCTGGTGTAGTGCACTCTTCCTCTGGGGAGTTAAGGCTAATAGAAGGAGTTGGTGGGCTTCCTTGTGGAGTGAATGGTCTGTGGGAAGATGGTCTGTGGAAGATTTTCAAGTTTTTGAGGCCTGGCTGTGGGCTTTACTGGTAGGCCAAGTCATTCACTGGCTTCTTATATCTCCCAGAAACACCGCCAATGAGGTCACCCACTGCTTGGGTTGCTGGTTCTTCCAATATGCCACTGAGCTTCCCTGTGGCTGCTTTCTCCATAGTGTAAAATTAAAAGTGTGAAACTCCTTCTAACAGAAAAATAAAAAATGCCTGGGAGAAAAAGGTGTGGCAGTGTAAACCCAGAAAGGCTTTACTGCTTTGCACAGTGTTGTCAGACTCTCATTTGTAACTTGCTGACTGGAGGATAGAGCAGAGCTAAGTTTTGACCTCACCATTGTGTTGGTACTCCCTAATTTTCCAATCATTTGGGTAGGATGGTGACCAAGCTCTATTGTTTAATTGTATTGTTAAAAAGAGAGGTCACGGACCTGCTGCTATCTGGCAGGAGTGACAGAAACCAAAGTAGGGCAGAACCAAATTACAATTATTTTGGCAGGATGCTCAACTTACATATATGTATTTCAACTGTGTACTGAACTGTTTGCATACGGTTCAGTTTCAGGGATTGCAGTGCATGGCTATTCAGTCCTGCCCACCTACTTCCCCCCCCCCCCCCAAGACTTCCTGAATGTATTCAATCAACATTTGAACCTCGCCACACTAGCCATCCTGATGCTGCCAGCAACTTGCCATCAACAAGATACTAAAGAGAGCAGTGAGAACACTCACCTGCTCCTATCATGTTGCGCCCTTACTGACAAAACGAAACAGGGGTTGTTCCATTGCTGTTCCCTTGCAGATGAGCGAGATTTGCAACATTTCGGTCAGTGAAGGAAGCCACACCATAAGAGAAGGTCAAAAAATTTATTTAGCAACATTTCTTTAGCAATCCTGTTGCTGGCAAGTTTCTGCCAGCAACAGGATAGCTAGAGTGAAATAACCTTCAACACCAGGTGGACAATTCCACTTGACCACTTTTGATCCAGCCTTTCTCTTCTGCTTTTGCCCCAAATCTTTCATTCTGGCTGTCAATAAGGTAACACTCACTGTCACCGATGATGTGTTCACCCCCTAATTGTGTGATTGGTACAGTCCTTTGTTCAGCCAGTCTGCTCTGTCACCACTGCCTGTAAAGAGGAAATGTGTGACCATCCCTACTGCCTTCAGCCTACCCAGTCTGCTCTCTGTTCCAAAATTAGATGCTTTGAATGTACCCTTTGGTTCCTTTAGCATTGTGCCCTGAGCATCCAAAAACAATTTTTCTTCATCCGCATGTTTCCTCAATTATTTCTTGCTTGGGGCGCACATTTCAAAGAATTGTTCAGTGTGTATTTTTGCACTTATAAGAGATCTTTGATGAGTTTTATTTCCATATTTTGTTCTTGTTTATTTTTATCCCATTATTACTGTTTGCTCACGGAACAACCAGTGGTAACAGCTTCCACATGTTAATTATGAACTCAAGGGCCATTTCCTATTGCCAGCCATAAACTAACAGCTGGATACTTTTAATGTTTTAGTCAATAATTGCTCCCTGTTGATTTCGGCGTGGGATTTATAAATTTGGCCAAATTGCACCTTTTCTTCCTAAAGTTTTTTTTTGGATCTTGGTATGAACTCATGCTACATGTCTTACTGTCGTACTGCATCTATGGCTTCTGGCTTCCGCTCTTTCTGAGTTACTAACCTGGAACAAGAATTAAGATCAGGAGTCCTGACTTCACATTCTGCATAATTGTTACAGGCTAGTAAAGCAGAGAAACCAGACATATGCAGGCAGGTAATGACAGGCTGCCACAAACAAGCATTTCAAAGTAACAAATGTCTGGTAAGAAGGATCTCATAGGCATGATGGCGATGATCAGTCAGAGTTCACCTGGAACAGATGATAGTCCTTTTCTTCAGTGCCCAATCTAACCGATTTTGACAGGACTGGGTGACAGTCTGTCTTCTGGTACCATGCAACAGTAGTTGATTCATGGGGTACACATAAACATGAGATGAGTGTCTCTTAAATCGTCCTGATAATTCAGCCATCTCAGTGCCTTGAGGAAACCTCAGGCAACTCTTGTGCAGGGGATACAATTGGTTGACCACGTGACCTTCTTTGTCAAAGCTCCCTCTTGTTGGACTGTCATGCCCCTCCCTGGGCAGGCCTTAGGGGTGTGCGAGCAGTGCGGCCGCACAGTGCCTCACCGCTGAGGTGTGGTTACTAAAGGGTGTGGCCACTGAGGGGTGTGGTCACTGAGGGGCGCTGTAAAGCTTTCTCGCACAGGGGGCCTAAAGGCCTAAGGCCGGCTCTGGCCCCTCCACCCTCCTCCTGGCTCCTTTCATAGTTTCTCGTGGTTGTGGTGCACTGTGTTACAAAAAAGGGTCATGCTTAATATCTTTTGAGGCCATGAGGTGCGTTGGCAGCCCTTTCAAAATGAATGGGCTGCCCTAACACAACACATAATAACATTATGTTGCATAACCCATTGATGGACACATTAATATGGAATTTAGGAGCCAGTCTGTCCAATCCAGGAGCCAGCAGGATTTTTGAAGGAGCCAGCTCCATTGACAGCAATTAGACCAAACACCAAATATTAGATGCCAGCTGAAACTTTTAAGGTGCATTGGCTACCTGGCTCCTGGAATATGTCTGGCCTAGGCATAACCTACCGCAAAGGTCTTAAGAAGGCCGGGGAGTGCAGGTCATTATGGACCCCTCCTCAGAGGGGGCATCACCACAGCACACCACATTTACAATGTAATGATGCAGAATGTGGCACTGATGTCATCATGCCAGCACTGTTCTTTGCATCTTGAGGACTGCCCAGTACTGGAGAATATCTGAAGATACATCACATTAGTGCCAACATTTATATCACTGGAACTTGTAGGCATATAACCTTCAGCGCCCAAAGTAACCCCAAAGTTCATAATTTTACTGGTCCCCAGACTGGTATCAGCAAGGTTGGGGACCAGTAAAATTATGAACTTTGGGGTTACTTTGTTACTTTGTGTACTGAAGGTTATGTGCCTACAAGTTCCAGTGATAGAAATTTGGTACGAATGAGATATATCATTCATAGAAAGGTTCTTAAGATAAAACTAAACTGGGCATCAGACATCTTGCCTTTGCCAAATAAATACGGCATTCTTCATTTTTATCGGAGTTGCAGTCAATTATCTCTTAACATATATAATTATTTATGTCAAAGGAAAT